TGATCAGAATACAGTAAATGTCCGTTCGCAACCATACGTTCGCCAGACATTGATAACTTGACGTCCGTAGTTTCGGACTTCGATGCGCTTAGATCCACCTTTTTGGGCCCCTCTTCCATGCTGTTAACCATGTCTCGACTCACAGAACTTCGAAATGAATTGTTTAAATGTTGTCTTGCTGATGGTAGCGTATCAAGGGATACCATGCTAAAACCTTCGCTTTCCAAAATGGAGTCAAATTCTCGATGATGCGTTGTTGGGTCACTTAAAGGTTGGAGAACTGATTCGCTCTTTGTGTGTTCAGCACCTGAAGAATAATGCGTCAGGTTTTCTCCAGCACCTTCTTCCAATATAGAAGACGAAGTAGGAGTAGGGTATTCTCTTAATTGAGGACCTGGCGTATGCCCCGCATCGATTGTGTTTTCGGGTGATAGGCCGGTTGAAATTCGGGAAGAAGCTTGGAACGGAGGAAAGTGCGTGTGATGATTGGGGATCGGGCTCATCTTTCTAGATAGCAAATCAGTTATTTTTGACCTGCTGTTTTCATTCGGGGTGGGAGATGATCTATCATCACCGATTGAATCGGGGAACTCAGACTCTGAATATGAATTAGAGATATCGGGAGGTATGTTATCGACCACATTATCGTTGGTACCGTTATCCCTCATCGCTAAGCCAAAAAATGGATCTGCTTCAGCCATCTTCTTCCGGACGGAATCGGCAAAGGTGAATTTGTTCGGCGAAGGACCTTCTTCAACAGAAGGCAGACTTTTCCGTGGTCTTCCTCTCGTTTTCTTTTCAACAGTATCAGTGCTGCCTGACGGGGCTTCAATTCTGCTTCTTCTTTTTCTAGGCGTCGGGACACGCTGAGACACATTCGATTTGCCTGTACGCTGTCTTTTGGGACTTGGCTCCAGAGAGTCATTTTCATCCTTCAGAGGTACTTTGGTCGTTCTTCCGCTTCTCCCAGATCTTGCGCCCGACCGCACACTGCCTAGGACATTTTCATTTTCTTCATCTTGTTTCGCCTCGACAGTCACTCGGATTCTCCAGGGGCTTGTGTTATTAACAGAATGAAGAGTTGCTTTCTTAGTTGGGGATAGCCTATGCTTGCCAATGAAACGACCCGATGGAGTGGAAGGGAGGATTATATCTTGAAATTTGATAGATTGCGCGCTCCTGGGATCTAATTTGATAGGCGATTGACGCCTTGTAGGAGACTGGGATTTCCGCGGTGAAAAAGTGCTCTGGCGTCGAAAAAAAGGTTTTGTGGCAGAGGAGAGGATGTAATCAGGATTTCCGGGATATCCTAGCGGGTCAGGAGAAGAGGTATCACTCCTGGCATCCATTGCGACTTGTGCCTGGCGGAAGCTGACTGGCGCATATGGGGGCTATCCAAGCGGGAAAGGCGGTATAGTTTCCACGATTGAGAGTCGTGACAGATTCAGTATGTCCGGGTAACCACCCAGTCTGTCAGTCGCAAATGTTATATGTCATGCATGACAGCGTCAGTCCAGTCAAATTGTACGGTGCAAAGGGACGTCTCCATGGATATCATCGACAGCGTTGGCTTATGAATATGTCGATGTTATCGTCGCTGTTATCGACAGCTTCGTTCAAGTCACGGGTAGTTGGCTTTTGCCTATTCGGGAACTGGTCTGTGCGCTTTGTTTACGGCTCCCGGTTCTCGGCAATATGATAATCCGTGCCAACGGTAAGTGTACCAACAAGGACTAGCGTTGAGGTTCAACCCATTCCATCTAACTTCCAAGACTTGCCAAGCTTTGCTTAAAAGGTGGGACGGATCCGGCAGCCAATCATTTGGCTCCAAGAATTTATGCTTGATTTTGACGTTTCACAAACTTTTACTTCGACTTTAACCTCCTTTTTGAGTGCAGTTGCAAGGCTTGTTTGTTTGTTGTACTGTATATTCGATATCGATCAAGGACTCGAAATAAAGGAGATGAAAGGCGGAGCTGTTCCTTGGATGATCTTCGTTTAACGCCGCTGTATTTGGAGATCCGGCAACGTACTTCCAACTAAGGAAGAGTCATCTGTTCTTTGAGCTGCATAGTTTTGGTTCATCCTGGGTTTTATTTCCAAGTTCCAAGTTCCCCCAAAAAGCAATGACCATCTAATTGCGGAGTTACGATTCTAACGAATAGGATCGCTCGCTGTCCGAACCCTCCATCCATCGTGGTTCACGTTCCACGTTTTATCGCCTTAACTCAAAAGCCTTCGAAAAGGTTTTGTATGACGCTATTAGAGCTTAATAAAGTGTCCTGGGCTCAATATTGTTAATTCTTTCGACAGGATTTACGTTGTTTATCATCCAAATGTCGGTATATAAAGTCAAAAAAAAAAACAGCAACATGGATTGGTTGTCCAGAAATCAAACTATCCTCCCAAGGTAATTTTTGAAAGAAGAAAGGGGGATTAAGAAAATATGGTTTCCCCCGCCGGATGTTGTCTGATCCAAGCTTACTTCAGCTCCTGACCTGGTAACACGACAAACTCTGATCAGCGAACCACCAAACTGGCTGATAGATACAAGATCTGGCTTCGACAATCCATTTCATCCCAGAAAGGATATCCGGATAGCATGGTTCGGATGCAAGGTTGTCACGGCTCTTGTCTACACTTTGCCCAATCACCATCTACTCACGTCGCTAACCTTTTCCATCCCGTGGTATGATGAGAAATAGAGCTTCGGCTTCCCCGCGCATGGCTGTGTATCATGGCACGCGGGACTTTCATAGATAAACCATGCCTTTCCCGTCTATCGAGACTCCGCCAACATTTTCTCGAACCGCACTTTTGCAGCGTCCTTTATCCCTGCCCTCTTCATCACCTCTCTCTTAATTGTCACAATGTATATTCGTTTAATTTCTTTGCTTGCGCCTGCGTCCCTGCTTCTTTGGACTGTTTCGGCGTTAGCGAAGTCCCGCGCTATTCCTCCGCTGGACCCGTTTAAACCTTACGTCATATCCGCAAAGAATATTGAGGCAACCTTAGTACCATACGGTGCGACCCTAACTTCTCTTCTTGTCAACGATCGTGATGACAATCAGCAGGATATAGTGGTCGGCTACGATGATCCTAAACAATACAAAATCGATACCAAAACAAACCATACCTACTTTGGTTGCGTTGTGGGAAGATATGCCAACAGAATAAAAAATGGCTCGTTCGAGCTTGGAGGTGTTAAATACAATATTACGAAGAATGAGAATAAAGACTCTCAAACACTTCATGGGGGCAAAATCGGATACGATCAGCGACCCTGGACCGTGGTAAATCACACAAAAACCTCTGCTACCTTCAGCCTTCTCGACACCGGTTTTGAAGGCTTTCCAGGAGATGTTATCACATATGCCACCTACAGCGTCAGTTCTTCGAGAACCGATGGAAACCGGAAAGGTGAAACTATTTTGACCGCGAAAACCGTGTCTCTTGCATTGACTGAGAAGACCCCCATTATGCTTTCCAATCATATATACTGGAACTTGAATGGTTTCAAGAAGTCTGATGTATTGGAGGATACCACCTTACATCTGCCATTGTCTAAACGATTCATCGCCATTGATTCCTCCTCAATTCCAACAGGTGAACTCGCAGGTGTCGCTACAACATTTGATGGTGCTCTCGACTTTACAAAGCCCAAGCTCATTGGCAAGGACATCTTCTCAGCCAAAAATTGTGGCGCCAACTGTACAGGCTATGACAACGCTTTCATCATTAACCGTCCAAATAATGAGACAGACTGTACCTCTACTTTTGAGAAAATGGATGTTTCTCTAAGCATGGAGTCGAGTACCACTGGTATCAGCATGCAGGTCACTACGAATCAAAAGGCTATCCAAATTTACAGTTGTAATGGCCAGAATGGGACAATTCCAGTCAAAAATTCTCAGGTTCAGCGCAACCAGAAGGGGGGCGGTGGTGTTGATATGATCAACAAGTATGGCTGTGTTGTCATCGAGACTGAGGGCTGGATTGATGGCATCAGTAATCCTAAATGGAACCAGGACCAGTACCAAATATATTCCCCTGATACTGGCCCAGCTGTGAACTGGGTTAGGTTCACCTTTGGAAATATTTGAGACCCACTACGGGAATTCAATTCCAGCGAGCGGGCCTCGAATGAGTAAATGAGAATGTTACAGGGGTTTAATCTGGAAGTTTAATAAGATCAGGGCAACTGTTAATCCAGAAGGAGAATTGAAGAAATCATATTGTTGTGTACATATATATATATATATTCATCCTTTTGATGTTATCCAACTGGTTTGTGTACTTACTCTTGGTCTAGAAGCTAACTACCCAGGTGTTTATTTTATCTCTCAGCTTGTCGTAACTTTAATATAGAAATCCTATAAAAAAGACCTCAACTGGCAGTCACAGAATATATTAAGTACGTGTATCAGCATTCCGGTAAATGTATGAGATTTAAAATCCCTGATTAGCAAGACGTATGTATATAGGCTAGTTACAGAATGGAACAGAATAGAGTTTTTTTGCCGTTGGGAATAGAAGTAAAGAGACAAGTTTGAGGCACCTATAATTGCAACTCATTTCTTTACAGCTTCGTTTTGCTTCTCGAATTTGCAGTGGCATGCCGACGGCCCCTTCGTAACATAATCTGCATGTACTCCGCAGCTAGAGTTTTTCTCTTCCTGCGTCTACAAGCATCGTATTGTATCAAGCTAGACTGAGTTATTTGTCACTTTCTCAAATAAGGACAAGAAACTTCGTGTCAAAATAGGGCTACTAACCTTGAAGACACGTCCTCAATCTGTGCATACGTCATATTGTCACGGAGCAAACATTTTTTTAAACTCTTCAGCAGTTGGCAGGTGTCTGAATCCCGTTTTGAATAATGCTTGCGTTAGCAGTTGTAAGAGAATTGAAAAGGGGTTAAGCCAGAACCATTAAAGTTGTTAAATAGATAATGAAACATCTCAAAACTAAGAAAAGATGGAGGGAATGGGGTGGGAAACTCACAGAGTGGGAAGCTCGTCCTTTCCTGACATTTTCCAACGTAGTTCAATAATCCTCTTAATCTCCCGCAGATGAAATCCCATAAACGGCGCAAGCAGATTTCGCGAATTCCTAGCTACTCGGACCCTCGCCAGCAACTTCTGAGCTGTGTGTTCTAGATCCTCTGGCGTGAGGGTACGTGACAATCGTTCGATTGTCTCATTTTGCAGATCCAGTTCAAGCCTAAGTCGGTCTAGCTGGCCAAGGTGGTAATTCATTATTCCTTCGAGCTTGTTCGCATCTCTAGGAAGCTCGTCGAAGGGTTGTGAGGAAGAACGATGCGCATCTCGGCATAGAATTTGAGAAATATGCTCGAGGAAGTCCACTATGGAGGGTTTATTGTGCTCGGGAGCGGAGGGCTCTGTGGGAGCATTTGCCATTATGGTCGCGGTATTGGAATGACGAGTTAGGGATAGGAGGTCTCCAAGAGAGAGACGCTTGCGCAGAGTGCTTGGATGTTGTGGCTCTGAAGGCTGGCCCATGTAGGATGACTCTGAGCGGAATTTCTCCTTGATGGAGACCATCTTGGCCATCACAGCCTAGGTGAATGGGGATGTGTCCAAGAGAATATGGCACGAGTGTGAAACAACCTTCATGTTAAAGAAAGACAGTAAGGATTTACAAATGGAAGAGACACTGAATAGAAAGAAAGTTGAGATATCAATACAATAACAACACAACACTGATATCTTAGGGGGTTGGCAGAGTAACTGTTCAGTTTCTAAAATATTCATTTAAGAATGTTTTGATGTTACAACACACTCAGGTTGTTATCTATAATAAAAGAAAAGAATATTAGTAAGATCTTAGAAAAGAAAGATATTCAAGAAATATTCATCTCTTGGAGCATTCACTGAAGAAAAACGAATGTCACCAACTCAAATCACAATCATTGACATTTGATGTTATTCATTTATTTGAGAATAAATAACATGCTAACAACAACTGTGAATGGAGGACACTGTGGTATCTTCTGAAACTAGTACAGAAGTTCAGAGAAAGTTTAATAATCCGCCAAGTAACAGTCTCATAGATTTTTACTATGCAATGAAGCCGCACTTCAGGTTCCATATCCTGTGTGCAGACGGAATTTCGGTTTATTTAATGTGTCGTGTCGTGTCGTGTCGTATATCAACCCCATTCTCCGAGTGTCCAGCTTGATCTTTCCCCACCAGATCTTCCCATGCTTGGTCCATAACCTGATCGTCGTTCCGCAATGTGGGATACGTCCAGGTCTCGACTTGCCCCTGCGATACCATGTTGCAGGAATTTCTCTCGTTCGATTTCCACAACCCCTTTCACCTTAAGGCTAGCCACAAGGCTGGCCCCTGCCCAGGATCCAAGAGACTCAACCTGGCGAAGGACACCATGCGTGTATGGCTTGAAATCTCTGCTGGCACGCTCCAACTTTTCGTCAATGAAATTCGTACATAGCTCTGATCCATTATCTTCCTGGGCGTTTACATTTGAGGCAGAGCTGACAGGTCGCCGCTGATTCATCGAAATTTCCTGGAGTTGCCTAGGGTGCTTGTTGATGTTCTTCCCTCTAACAGGGTCCCATCCATACATCTTAACAAGGGAATCAACTTCGTCAATTATCCTCTGCTTAACACCGGGGATATTCGAACCTCCACCTACAAAAATTATCCGCGACATGCACGCACCACGGACATCAGGTGGAAGAGTAAGGAGACCATGGAAAACCAAAAAATCAAGAGGCATTTCTTCATCGTCCAAGCTCCTTGCATCAACACCCCCCGCAAAAAAGATTTCCTCAACTGGCTCAGAAAATTTTGAGAAGGGAACGTCTATATCAGCGGCTGAATCACCAAGTGGTGATGGCAGCGATATATTGCAATTTAATAGATGGGAATTAATGTTTTCCGGGTATTCGTTCCCTGCTGGTGCGGACTCCATAGCGACTCGGGACTGATGCTCAGCATTTTCCTTGCTTTTGCACCATGCCAATCGGGTTATTATTTCCTCACACCACTCAAAGTCGACAGATATTACATCATTGTCACCATCATTGTTGTCAGATTTGTCTTTGTTACCAACGGTCCTCTCTAGCGTCGTCAGGAGAGAGCCCATTTTACGCATTAGCAGTTTCATAGCCCGAATACTTCGTTTAGATTGGACTTCTCGATATTCATAAAGGCCGGTAACTGTGGTCTCTTCCCACCCTATATCAACAACAAGAGCAGATCTTAGACCTGCAGAAACAGCTGCCATAGCTGCGCAGGGAAGCAGGGTAATACTTGGATATCTCCAGCGATTGAATATTGTCGATAGGAGTGATGAAAGCAGTGGGTGAGGAAAAATTGGAGGCAACACGATTATTAGCCTTGAAGAGCCCGCGTCCGTGAGCAGATATTTGTTGTAAACTTCTCGTATTATTCGTTCAATTTTGTCCTCGAATAGTCCCAGGTCGAAATTTCGGATATCCATATTCCAAAGCTCGTGGGATTTTGACCATTCGTCCGCATTTTTGAAGATCTTTTTCAAATTGGCTCTCTCTTGGTCCTCGGTCTTAATCCAACCCCGATAATCGCCCACTCTCCGCCCTCCTTCTGGGCCGAAACTTACGACGCAGATTGGCAAGTGGTCGCCTTCAAACCCAGCACGAAGATACCGGGACCCTAGCTCAAATATGATTGCGGCTTCTTCGTGCCGGAATGATGATCCAGGGGAGGTGGAAGTGGTGTATGGCGATAGTATCTGCCGCTGCTGGGGTGTATGCGGTGACCCGGGAAGCGGTTGTCGGCTTTGACGGAGGCCTGATCGAGCTGAGCCCGTGGAGTTAAGAGACTGTCGCCAGTCAAAGGCAGAGGAAGAAGACGCAGTCGCCATAACAATTGTCGTTTCCCACACTTGAATCTATTCGTCTATCACGGAGGTTATTGAACTTATCCCGTAGATATCTCTACTCCGACCTAGGGAGGTAAATATTTAAATAAGCTTAGACCTCTGGTCTTTTGTTGTTTCAGTCCATTCTGAAGGCCGTTTTATCACTGGACCAAAGTTAATATATAAGCGCAATTCAGTGGGCATAGCAAAATATATTTTTTGGTTGTCGATTTCTTGAAGTGTCGCAGATTGCCTTTGCTTAGTCGGTTGTAGGTTCACGGGTAGCTCCTTGGCGGTTACCAGGACAGCTATGTCTCACGTGATGACGCGAATTTGTAAACCGCCGGAGCGATGTAAATATACCAAAACACAAAAACAAGCATTGCCACGGATGGAGCATCTTCGAACGGCTGTGATACAGACGATGGGCCGTTAAACATTTGGAAAACGAAAATACGCTTTAGTTGTCTCTTAAAATACTACATGCTCCGAATATAGTATTCCAGGGGATAGAAGGGTACCTCTGTCTGAGTGGTTCGGATGGGAATTCCGGGGTAAGTTCATCTTACTCTCGTAGCCGCCGGACCAACAATTGCTTCTGACACTTATGCGGGCATATGCAGGCTTATCCAGTCCATTGGAAATGGAGAGCGAATCTCTTTGGCCAAATTTGCTGTCAGTCATTTGCAACGAACATCCCGGCCCATTCGAATAGCTATCGATATTTCAATTTGGCTTTTCCAGGCCCAGGCTGGGAAAGGAGGCACAAATCCGGAACTTAGGACGCTCTTCTACCGTCTAGTACGCTTGAAAGGATTTCCAGTGCATCCACTCTTTGTGTACGATGGCCCGCAAAGACCTCAATACAAACGTGGGAAGCTGGTTAGCAGAAACTATGGCGCTGGCGATCTGGCACGGATAATACGCCGTTCTAAAGATCTAATTCAATTATTCCGTTTTCCATTCCATATAGCGCCAGGGGAAGCGGAGGCTGAATGTGCAAGACTTCAGACATTTGGGGCAGTGGATGCGGTTATGAGTGACGATGTCGACACTATCATGTTTGGATCTAATGTTACTATGATGAACTATTCCAAAGAGAATTCATCTGGAACGAATGCAGCAACGCATGTCACTCTTTATAGGACCAAGGAAAGTGCGGATGGACAGATCGCAAATGTTCCCCTCGATCGAGGTGGTATGATTCTGTTTGCGTTGTTGAGTGGAGGAGACTATCTCCCCGCCGGTGTCCCAAAATGTGGTCCAAAGCTTGCGGGGGAAATTGCGCTGGCTGGATTTGGTAACGAATTGCTACAATCGGTGGAAGGTAGCGAACCAGAGGTTGCTGTTAAATTGAGGCAATGGAGAGAGCGCCTGCAGAGCCAGCTTCATGAAAACACCGAGGGTTACTTCAAATGCAAACACAAGGCAGTCCAAATTCCAGACAGTTTTCCTGATCTGAGGATATTGCGTGACTATACTCATCCAGTTGTTTCTTCACTAGAGAAATTAAGAGAGGCACAACTATCGTTTATTTGGGATCAAGCCATCGATCTTGAGGGCTTGAGAGATTTTGTTGAAAACGATTTTGGTTGGCGACGCGGTTCCGCAAGAAGATTGACTAAGGTTCTTGCAGCGCCCCTTTTATGCAACAAACTCAGGCTTGGCCTCCCACTCCTCGCGAACGCCGATTTGCTACCTATTCGCGAGCCACCAACGGGAGCGCGGCTCTGCGGGCAACGGTGTCATTATAGCACTGATGGGTTGTCAGAGCTGAGAGTTGAATATGTACCAGCCGATATTGTTGGGATAGATTTGAATTGCGAACCAGTCGTGTCTGGGTCACAACAAGAGAGTGAAACTGAAGAATTTGATATGCCTGAGGTCCAAGACGATGCGATCGATCCCAAAGGAGATATAAGGCGTCAACGATCGTATGATCCTACGCAAAAGGAGAGGGTTTGGGTGATTGAAGCTATCGCGAAGATGGGAATGCCAGATGCAGTCAAAGCATGGAACATGAAAAAGCAAGAGAAGCTAGCTGCTGCCGCTGCGAAAGGCACTACCGGAAAGAGGATTTCAAGAGTGAAGACAAAACCGAGAGTTGTTGATCCACAAATGAGGTTTGGGGAGATTCTGAAGTATGGCACCATCGTCAAAAGCCCAAGAACTGGATCGGCCAATTCTTTTTTTCCCTCATCTCAAAAATCTTCATCGGGGCATATTTCCTCTAATCCAAATGACTACACCCTTCCGTTAAGCTCGCAGCTCTCGGTCTCACAATTTAGTCAAACACAGAACTCCAAAAAGCGATAATCTTTCTCAGCGCCAAAACCTTCGCCGGAGACCTCCTTGAGCGATATTGATACGGTATACAATTATGAATATAGTGATGAATGTGAGTTACTGCCATCATCTCTACCATGATACTTTATTCCTGTTCACGCTAATAATTTGCGGATTCGTGTGTTGCCTCCGCAGAAAGCATAGAAAATGCCATGGATGAAATGGAAAATTTGCCTAACGGTCAACAACCGCCCCTAAGCGAATCTCAAAACCTCAGTGTTGCCAACTAGCCCGGTGACCGATTCACAAACACAGACAAGGAATGAACACAAAAGAACATCATGTTCACCCCCACAACTTCATAATTATACTAAGTCTGCTCTTGAAGGTTTAAACAAACTCGCTGTTGTGAATGAGATTTCGTCGTCTCCCACATCGCCCGTCTCCGGCTTTGACCTTCTAGAGCAGATGATATATTATCCTACTTCTCGAGACTGAAAGTTCATATCCACCGTGACGCACATGAACCCGCTGAAGAGCTCCCATTGTACTGCTGAAGGCTCCGGGCGCATGCGAAATATTTCACCTCTTCGAGCTGCGACTGCGACGACTGTCTCGAACGGGGACAATTCAAAATCCCGTTCCGACTCAGAGAGAGGTGACCGAAGAGACAAATACTCCAATTCAACAAGAACATGCCCACTATCGAAACTTGAAATAGCTGTTGGCCATATAGGCGAACAATGAGGGGAAACAGGTGGTCTGGCCCCGAAGAACCTCGCAATAACGCCGGCCATCGCAGGAGCGAACGAAAGACTCTTGATAGGAAATTAAGCGAGATTATATTACGAGGACGGTGAGTATTTTGGATTTAAGAATAGTCACTCCATAGCACCCTATGGTCCTAGAACTTGGATACATGTAAACATTGTTCTTGGAAATCACGTTAGACTGCTCTCTGCATTCTTTTGGTCTTGCTTTTTGCCAATACCCTTATGTCCTCTGTTAAGCATCCAGCATACACTGCTACCAACATCCATCATTTCTTTCGGTGAACAGCTATCACGTTTTGTATTCCCAACCAACTGCGGAAATGAACCATCGAAACTCAACATATCACTGCATATAATTTTCTTAAAATTAATGTCTTCCTAAAACTAACATAAAGATCATTCAATAACGATGCATTGGCTTTCCACCGACCTAAACCTAAAACGCCAAATCGGAGATGGGGACTGTGGTGCTAGATACCGTCACTAATAAGTTAACTAGTCGATTTAAACGCTACTAAAGCTTACATAATAAACGAACTAAGCATATGAAACGGTCGATGGGTGGAGGAACAGGAAACGGAACGTAGCAGGTATCGGGAATATCAACACTGGAGCGAGAATAACGGTATAGGCAAAGGAAGCACTTTGCCTGGATATGATTCGTGGAAACAAATCCGGGAATGGGAGTAAAAATAGAATAAATGAAACAGGCCTGTTAAGGAAATGCCGGGAATGAAGTTAACATCATGGGTAATTAGTAACAAGGGAAATGTAGTGTTCATAAGGAAATTTAATCATAAAGGGAAGTCATGCGATGCAAAGCAAAGAAGGCGAGAAGCGAGGTTAGGTATTAAAATCCAGTCCACAAAAAAGGAATGCGAAAAGTGCCTTATACAGCGAATGCCTTCAAGAAACCCCAAATTCCGACACAACTGAGGACAGGAATAGTAAGGTTATCATCCCATCCGAAGAGGTCTACCAATTCACTGCCAGCAGCCACTGCTCCCGTCCACATACTGACAATACCCAAGGCCACGGGCCCAGTGACTACTGCTTTCGCTGCAGAACCTGCGGAAACCCCAGCCCGTGCAAGACAACCCCGAAGAAAGCTTGGAATAAGATTGAGAGTACCATTGAACATGAAAGATCCTTCAGGATCGTCAGGGAATGCGCCAACGCGAGGAACAAGGTAGCCCCAGAAAGCGGCTGCAGTAGCAACTCCGACTGCCCAGGCAGCGAGAGTTCCAGCCAGACTTTTTCCACCGCGAAGACGAACGGTATACCGGCCATACAAGCGCCCGAACGTGGATGCTGCGGTGTCACACCAACTTAGCAGCAGAACACCCATCACACCTACGTCCTTGGGGAAAAATCGGAGAGAAACATATGCTCCAAGAAGGTACCAGATCACCCCATTGTACCCAGCTACCTCAGTCTCTCGCATCAGAGCACCCAAGCAGCGAATGTAAAGCTTGTTTATAGGTTGGTAGCGATGGCGGAGAAAATCCGTAACAGCAGTAGGGATCAGCGCTGTCAGGAGCCACGGCGCGACATTCAGAGTTTGTACTCCACGGCAATAGAGTTGAAGGGTGACGAAGCCGATTGAAACATGGAGAAGCTTGCGAGGGATCTCGTGTCGATGAATAAAGGACCTATAGTGTCTATGAAGAGGAATAAGACCAAGGGGGGAAGGAGAACGAGAGAAATTTCGCCAGCGATTTTGAATGTTGGTATATGGGGAGAGATGGCCATTGACAGGGATATACCCGTTCGGGAGGGGATCTGATTTGGATGCCGGACTACAGGAAGAGCCATTCACGGGAGTCGGCCCTGTCATCCGACGGCGAGCTTTACTGGATGATAACGCGGTAGGACTTCGAGATCGTGTTCTTGCGCGGTGGTCCGCATTAGAATCCGAACTTGATTCCACATCGATCTCATGCGGCTCCTTCTGTTCCTCTGAAATAAGGGGAGGCAATGAGAGGCGTTCTTTTGCGGACGCAGATCGTGTAACTGGACCGGACCGGACATTTCCTGAAATCGAGCGTTCTGAAGGAGTGGGAGAGGGCGAAGTTACGCGTGGAGTGGCGGGAACTGCATATTGGGCGGACATGACAGCGGAGCTTTCTGGTGGAGGGGAACTAGGGTCTCTTGGGTGAGGGGACCGGCAAATACCCCAACACTTCAAGGACGAGATTGAAACTCTGTAGCACGTGGAAGAGAAAGACGAAGAGTCAAAAAAGGCTTTCCTATCCTGTTGAATGATCGAATACGAAGAACGTCACTGGGACTGCTCTTCTGTTTGTCAAGGGAGAGGTGGCTGCTTAAAATGCAAGCGCATTCTGGGCCAGCAGAGCACACAAAAAAACGGTAAGATCTGTTGAGTTCCCCTAAGTCACACAAAACGACAGGAAGATAGGAATAGGACGACAGGAGAGAGCAGGGTATCGGAGAGATACAGATGATATAAACAAAACGGGTCACCGTCGAAGTTTTAGGATGAAGTCAAATATTTCATAATTCAGGATTGGCAGCACGTGACGGTCAGCCTCCGCCACCGATCACATGTTAGTTAACTAGTTAGTTAGCAAGTTTAGCTTAGCTTAGTCATCGCCGTATGGCGGTGTCGTAGGGCTAAAAAAGATGGCAACTTTTGCCCGAGATTTCATATTTTGCTCATACGGGAATTATCTCGGAACGATTTAAAACTTCATTTTCAAGAGACTTCAAGGCTTTTTGGTGTACCGTAGGCTGGGTGGAAGTGCCATATACGGGGTTGGAAATGCCTCCAGCTATTTCTCAAAATTCAAAGTTGAGGGCATGGGATGCTCTCACTCCTCCTTTATCGGGATGGATTCTTGATGCCATCTCGTCCATGGGCTTCTCCCGCATGACGCCAGTGCAGGCTTCAACTATTCCTCTTTTTATAGCGCATAAGGATGTAGTTGTCGAGGCTGTTACCGGTAGCGGGAAAACATTGGCTTTTTTGATCCCCATGGTTGAAAGGCTCTTGCGACTTGATTCTCCTATTAAAAAGCACCATATCGGAGCAATAATCATTTCCCCCACTAGGTACGTAACTCACGATATTCCAACCAAGAATGCTAGAGAAAGAGTCAATTGAGCTAATGTATGATATAGAGAACTGGCTACTCAAATATACAATGTTTTGCAGTCCCTCTTAGCATTTCACGGTCCTTCCGCGACCCGTTTACAATCTGCGGAGATCGGCATTTGCGAACAGAATGAATCCAATCCACCGCTGCCATACCCTTCTTCCGTGTTAAAAATAGTTCCCCAGCTACTTTTAGGTGGCACTACAACTCCCGCACAAGATCTAAGTACATTTTTAAAACAGTCGCCCAACGTTCTCATTTCGACACCTGGCCGCCTTCTCGAGCTGCTAGCTTCCCCCCATGTGCATTGCCCACAGTCTTCGTTTGAGGTTCTTGTCCTTGATGAAGCAGATAGACTCCTAGATTTAGGCTTCCAAGAAGATCTACAAAAGATTCTTCAACGGTTACCAAAACAACGACGGACCGGGTTATTCAGTGCCAGCGTCAGCGAAGCTGTTGATCAGATAGTCCGCGTTGGCCTGCGGAACCCTGTCAAAATTTCGGTCAAGGTGAAAGGTGCAGGATCTGAAGACAAACGAACTCCAGCGAGGTACGTATACCTAGTGTATGAATATCTAACCTGGTATATCTAATACGTACCTGTAGTTTACAAATGACCTACCTCCTCACCCCGCCCCCCCATAAACTCCCAGCCGTTAAAAACATCCTCTCATCCATCCACCCTTCCCCCCAGAAATCCATTATCTACTTTTCCACCTGCGCCGCAGTAGACTATTTTCAAGACATCCTCTCTTCCATCCTTCCTGAACAATTCGAGACAATTCCCCTTCACGGCAAGCACCCACCCCAAGTCCGCCAAAAAAACTTTGCTCGCTTTGTCAACTCTGTAGCCTCCTCCATCCTTTTAACAACAGACGTCGCAGCCCGCGGGCTTGACATTCCATCTGTAGATTTAGTAATTCAAATAGACCCCCCCACGGACCCAAAGGCTTTCCTCCATCGCTGTGGACGCGCAGGTCGCGCAGGACGCCGGGGCCTCAGCATCATCTTACTCCACCCAGGCCGGGAAGAAGATTACATCTCGTTCCTCAACGTGCGCAAAACACCAGTGACGGCATACCAATGCCAATCTTCACCGATCTGCATATCTGACGAAGACGCGACGAACGCTACGGAGACAATCCGAAAGCTTGTCCGACAGGACCGCGCGATCCATGACAAGGCACAGAAGGCCTTTGTCAGCTGGGTGAGGAGCTACAGCAAGCACCAAGCTAGCAGCATTTTCCGTGTTACGGACCTGAATTGGGAAGATCTGGGACGGGCATGGGGTCTATTGCGTTTACCCAAGATGCCTGAGTTGAAGAATTTTACTGGTGATCGATATTTAGGGGTGGAAGGAATGGACTGGGATAATTATGCGTATAAGGATAAGCAAAGGGAGATGCGTCGAAGAGAGGAGCTAAATGAACGGGCTAATAATGCTGATGGTATTGCTTCTAATGCTAAGAGGCCCTTTAAAAGACCAGCTACACGCAGTGAATCTATTCCATGGAGCCAGAACCTGAAGAAGAGAAGTGAGAAGGAGAGCAGACGAGAACGGAAGAAAGCTAGGAGAGATCGTGAACTATGGAGCAAAATGACGGTGGACGAGAGAAACAAAGTACGAGAGACAGAACGTATGGTTGATGCCGTTCGAAAGGCTGTAAGGAAACAATCTGGACTTCAGACGGGTGATGCTTTGGAAGAGGAATTTTGAGGGGTTTGATTAAGTATTGATCACCTATTATTGATCACCCACCCGTGCAACCCTGTATATATACTCAAATTAGTAATCGAGCACTCGCGGGATTTCACTTCATTTGTACAACTTGCAGAAACGGCATATAGCGGGAACCTTCAGAACTCCATTGTAACCCTTGGCCACCCTGGTCCCGTACTCCAACGAACTGATTATATAAAACAAAAATTAAAACGCGAGCATACATGCATACATGCACACATAGATAAAGAAAAAAAAAGTTACATCTAAAATAAACAAAAAAAACAAAAAACAAAATGATGGGAAAAGAGCAAAATGAAGAAAAAAGAAAACAAAAAAGAAAAGAAGGAAAGATCAAATAAACAAAAAAAAAAAAAAAAAAGAAACGCCCCAGGAGCACCAGTCCCTCCTCCCTCCCGCACCGCCCCTAGGACGCCCGTTCCCGCCTATACTCCCCCAGCTCCTGGCAAAACTCACCATACGAGCCCAAGTTAAAAGGCTCGATGGGAGCTGCCTCCCCCTCTTCCTCCTCTTCCTCTACCTCCCTTTCTCCCCCCACCAGCCCCGGTTCCCCCAAGCGGGATTGCTCACGGGAGTATCGCCGGAACTCGCGGCCGAATATTTGATCGGCCGCCCCTTCATCCTCCTCCAACCACATCTCACGTACCAGTTGTGTAATGTGGTGGTCTGGTACGTGGGAGGTTTGCTCCGACGACCCCCCTAGGTCACCGAGCAAGTTCTCTTTTCCAACCACAGCCTCGCTACGGGATTCTGTGGCTTGTCTTTCACCCTGGGCATTAAGATGTGCAAGGGGGGATTCCCCCAGTGGCTCAATGGGTTCTGGCTGCGGCCCTAGAATGTCACTACCTTCACAGGCGGATACTGGACTAGAGGAGTATCGCCGGGAAGCACGAAGTCCACTAGGAAGTTTTGGTTTGTATTTCTCGGCCCGCGAGCGTAGTTTGGCAACCACATCAGAACCAACAGGTGTGGCCGACAGTGGCAGAGACACGTGAGCGGGTGTTGGGCGGGGAGGCGGAAGTTGTGTCCAGTTATTCGTGAAAACGGGAGGTTGCGAAGTACTGGCATCAGTGCGTGTAGTAGGTACAGTAGGTGCTACGGGTGTAGCAGGTGTATGAGGTTCAGGAGGTTCAGGAGCTGCTGATACAGTAGTTGCTGTAGTCGGAGTCATGGGTGGTGGCTCGAAGGGAGGAGCCTCAGATACGCTGGATACTGAGGGTGTCTGATTTTTGGCAATGTTATCAGTGTTGGATAGTATAGCTGCTGCTGTTGACTCCTTTGTTGCTGTCTCTGCTGCAACATCCTCTTCCAAGTCTTCATCGGAATCCGAAAACACGCTATAGTCCAAGCAGTATGTCCCAAAGGGATTAGGGCGAGTGATCATCGGATAAGGCTCAATTGGTTGTGCAGGTTCCTGCACCGATTCGGGCGATGAGAGTTGATCACGGCCCGGCTGCGTTGATGCAAGTGACTGGGGAGCTGAGTGATCATTGGAGGAATTCCTTAGACTATTGATGAGAGGTTCCGACAAATCTTGGCTCGCAGTTTCTTGATGACTATCAATAGAGTTTCGGCGCAGACGAAGCTTTGATGGAGTATTTTCAGGACTGGCGTCAAACCGAACACGCTTTGCGTTTCTTAAGATACCTCGAATAGCCGGTTGTGCTGTGCTAGGGATTGGGGCATGGATTGGGGCTGGAGTTGGGATTGAGGCAGGAATTGAAGCTCGAGTTTGTGCAATGTTAGCTGCGATGTCAGGATTTGTTAATGAGTCATCATCTGCTTCGCTTAGAGAACTGTATTCAAAATATGTCAAGTCCATTCCATAGCTGCAGCCTGGAGGGTTTGGGATTTCGTCTGGAGAATTGGATCTGCGCTTCCTTTTGTTCCGGTTGGTATTGTTGGTAGTAATGCTGTTGGAAGCGTGCTGCACGTTATTACTTTCGGTCTCAATCACCTGATCTGGCGAAGGCTGGTGAGCCTCCTTCCGTGGGGATGAGATCCCCAGAAGTTCGCGTCGGTTTAGCGGTTCCGGGAAAAGAGAGTACGTCAAGCTACCATCATCCGGAGTCTGCTCTGATTGTTCAAGTGGCTCAGATTGCTCATTCTGCTGCGGGGTATTGATAGGCTGCGCTGGCAGGAGTGGTCTCATTTGAGACTCTGGTGGGGCTGTAAACACGTCAACAGACGATTGTGGTCGATTAGGAGACAGCGTGAAGGTAGGAATGAGTTTCGAAATTGTTCTAGGCACTGAATTAAGAAATCCTCTAATGCCCCAAGTTCGGCTCGGAGTCTGAGGGGCTTGTGGCGTTTCTGGTAGCTGTGGTTGTTCATCATCAGACATTGCAGCTGCATCTGCTTTCATTTGCTTGAGCACATCCCACACCGGCTCGTCTGCTTCCGAATCCTCTGTTTTGTCATTTTCCTTCGTAAGGTCTGCTTTGTTTTGGGCGATCAATTGAGGAATGCGGAATATAGTTTTTTCTATCCGACCCTGACTTTCAAGTGCTCTACGACGAGATCGTTCGGCATATGAAGTTACTTTTCGTTGTCTATGTAGAGCAACAGACGAATTTCCGGTGTTGCGGCGCTTCCTCGTGGTTTGCGAATTGTTGGGTGGCGACTTGCCATCATCGCTCGAATCGAGTCGCGTTCTCTTGCGGGGTGAACCTGGGGCCTTTGTTAGCGTCCTCTTCTAGTTGGTTTGGTTTTCTCCAGTAAAAGCCTCAATATCATGTCTATAAGGGCAAACAAGCATCTCGGTACAGCAAGGGCATCTAGGAACCATGCCCCAAAGCTAAGGCTGGCGATGTCGTATTCCCACGGAGTTTGTCCTAGGTGGCTCAAGGTATGGGTGTAGTTTACTCTAGGACTCATGGGAAGCTTTGGGAGCTCCCTTCCATTCCCACGAATGGAGCCTATCCGACCTTTGAGGAAATGGTTTAAATGCATTGTAGTCAGTGGACGGATGGGAAAGTCCAGAGTGAAAACAATCCCATATTATATCGTAGGACGCTGGGGAGTTTGATAGGGATCAATTTAAGGGGCAGAGGGAGGAGAGAGTGAGGAATGATAAGACTCAGGTGTTGCATGAACAACATAGCCTGTCGGTTGAGACTGCTGAGGAAAGGTAGGAGAAGCTGAAATGTTCTGACAGTGTGCGTAATCCACCGAGATTAAAATTTACCCTGGTCGAATTAAGAGAGTTCGAAGGCCTCGCACCGCTGGTAGCGGACGATACGATGAAGTGGGATAAGCTCGCATGTCCAGATTGAGCGCGCCTATTGGACGAGGGCGAGCAATTTGAGAGACGGAATGTGAGTTTACCCCAAGTTCGCTTTGGCAGCCTTGAGAAACAGGGTTTTGGGAATGCAATGAAAAAGATCTCTTTTTCTTAAATGCCAAAGCTATATTAGGGGTTGAACGATCTAGAGAGGGCAATGAAATACATTGAGTACGGGGAGTGTCTAGGATCTGACAGGGAAGTTGGATGATATGATGGCGGGTAGAATGTTTATAAGGGTTAGCCAGCGATTGAGCACTAGGAGCATTGGTGGCTGGGATTTGCCAAACACCGCTTGGCTCCTGAGGATTACCGGCTGGCGGAATCGGAAACCCCACTGATGCAGAGGAAGAGAAATTCGCATGGGGGCCGGATTTTCTATTTCCGGGGGAGCTAACCCGTTCAAACAGAGTAGAAAGACTACTTTTGGGCACGGACTTTGGAGACGGTGACTGCTTACCCTGGGTTTCCAAATGGGCCTGGTGACCAGAAACTGATGGTGTTGGAGTTGTTGGGTCCATAACAGGTGCAACAACCAGTATGGGGACAGGAGAAGAATCCACGGGCGTGGTCACAATTGGAGAAGTTGAAGAAATAATTGGTTGCTCACATGTATTTGTAGATGCCTCTGCGGGCTGTTCTGGGGTGGCATCACCATCAACATTGGGTGTAGGTACGTCGCTGGCAGCGGCTTTGGTAGGGCTAAGTGCATTGGCGCCGTCAATGGTCGCGGATTCTTCGGATTTAGTCGCTGATTTCTTCGACCCTTTCTTAGGGCCACGTTTTGCGGGTGTCTTCTTTTCGCTTTTGGTTTTTGTCCCTTTGGCTGTTGCCTCTTTAACTGGTTTCGGTATATTCGGGGGAGTCGAGTCCGTCTGCGATTTCTTCCTACGTGGAACAGTCTGCAGCGACTGAAGACCGCCAGGAGATATTGGTTGCGATCGAGTACGCATGATTATGCCGCTAGGGCAGAGGCCCGTTTTATTCACAGCGTCAAAATGCTGTTTTACGGGTGGAGCTGCAATAGCTCAGCGCAAATAGGCTCCGTGCTGGGGAATCATCAGTAACCGTAACCGCCCAACCCAGCAACGAACAGGACAAAACAAAAACAAACCAGGATCTATTTGGTAAACAGATAGCTAACAGCTGAGTTACGGGGAACCGTCGTCGAGGATTGCTGCGCGTAGGTAGATTGAATTGAAATATTGACGGACACGGAGTTTGGGAGCTCGACGGAGCACAGGAGAGGTAGAGGGGAACGATATGGATGCAGTTTTCGCGAAGGCAAGATAGGCTGAGAGACACGGTAGAAGATGAGAATGAAGGTATTTAAGTTAAAAAGAGCGATGGTAAAAAGGGGATAATATATTTGCTTTTCAGCAAGATGCGATTGTTTGAGGGCAGTTGGTGCGGTGCGAAGGTAGATGGAGAGTGCGATAGTCGAAATGGACACGTTAAGAAGAAAATATGAAGAGGAGAGGGAGCAGCTGAAGAAGTGGGATGATATGTTGTGGTGTCGTGGTTTGTTGTTGTGATGCTGCCGTACGCCTAAGGGTTGCTGTGAGATAATTAATTTTGTGTTGTTGAGAGCAAGGCAGTATAGAAAGGCGGTGGACGTCGGACGAGGAGGATATGGTTAGGTAAGCAAGCGTTGGCGTGCCAAGCCTGACAACACAGCAAAACAAGTTTAAGGTGATGATAGCAACGTGGAATAGGTAGGGAATAGAAATAGTGAATATATGGGTGTCAATAATCAACTGGAATTGTACTATGTGCATTTGTCGATAAAACAGATCATAGATCGCGCTGTCGGGGTTTCTCTAACAGCGAAGCCAGCGCCCAACCCGCAAAAGCTGAAAACAGGTTCTGGGAGGACGCGAGTCGGAGGGAAAATGGAGCCAGTGTATTTCGTATAATTAGGTTGTAGCCAGTAGACGTACAGCAAGTCATATAAATACATTCTAAAAGAGGTAGGCCGGAAATGTGACACGTACATGTACATTCTACGTATGTTGAAACAGCACAGAACGTTAATCGGCAGCAATGACAGTGAAAAGAAATAAAAAGAGATACAGAATCTTGTGTCCAAGGAAAAAAGAAAACCAAAGAGAAAGCCCCGCTGGGTGCCTTACGAAGAGCCCTCAAGAGCCCTCACAGGCTAATTTCTCCCTTCCATGACGCATCGGTCAAACCAAGCGTATTGATCAAGTGCTGCCACCGCGGACCACCACGTTCCTTTCTCCTTAAATATTTCAACAGTTTCTGTCTCTTGTGAACAAGTAATCGCAGATTTCGCTTGTTATGTTTATCTTTGTGCCCATACTTCGCCATCTGCTGAGCAAGCACCAGGATCTTCGTGGTCAGAATGGCAATCTGCACCTCTGAGGAGCCTGTGTCCGGACCAGCTCGTGTTGACCTTGGGGGATACTTGGATGCAGAGGGATCGATGGCCGCAGGTGTTTTGGGTTCAAGCATCGATTCTGTAACATGTCTTCCAAACGTGTGTATGCACCGTTGAATGTTTACTCGGGTGCGATCTTTGTTGCTGCCATTGTCGAGTTGTATAATGCGACTGATTGCTTGTTGCGCGTTACGGTGAGCCGCTTCATGCTCCAGCAGTTTTTCCTCCTTGGATTGTGGATCAGATATGGCGCTCTCACTGTTGACCACGGGTTCCGTAAGACGTTTCGATCGAGCAAGGGCATCTTCGAATTCCTCCGACGTGAGGTAGTGGTTGAAGTCGGGGATTATAGATTGGGTAGAACTTGTATTGGGCGGTTCGTTGCCCTTTTGCTGGGTCATAGGATCAACGATTTCAAGTTGCTTTGGCATCAGGGATTTGATAAAGGGAGTGGGATTGCCGAGCACAGGGTCCCCATATGTTGCAGCACGTTCCTTTTTCAGGACAGCTTGTCGTGACAAGTTCGCAGCTTTCCGCTGCCGAGCCTGAGCAATTGCATAAGGATTCTGTCTTTTTCTCTTCTTCGAACGGCTTTTGCTACTCAAAAGGGCTATTCTCGACGAGGCCGGAGACGGGCCTAGGGATAATGCTGCGAATGGGTTTTGTAGAACAGAGACTGGAAAAGGTTAAGGTTAGAGCAACCCATCATCAATCCGGGCAAGTAATCAGTATCTTCACGTACCATTAAATGCCCTGGAATGGAAGGGAGTAAGGAAGGGAGTAAGAATCCTGGGTGGCATATTGTCGATATAACCCATCAATGCTGGGCAAGCAAAATGTCCAGCAGCAATATCAAGCACTTTTTTTCCCGCCCCGGGCAAGCAGAGGCTCGGAGCAAAAATTGAGCTTAGTCATCATTGGCTTGGATCCCGTGATCTGCAGCTGGAAAAAGATTTCGGAACATAGTGTCGGGTTTGCCCTAATTTCCGCATTGGGCAACGACACACACAACCCAACTGAACCTGCAAACCTCCGAATATTTCGTCAGGACATTTCAACTTGCTCTCCACTTAAACGCGATATCGACAACCCGCCAACGATTGATATTTATCCTCTCCTGCGTTGGAATATCAGTCGCCCAGCATGGCCCCTTCCAACCTCCCCCCTGTCTTCAATGCGACATCTCAAGATATTGAGATGTTGCTGGCCGCACAATGCCACCTCGGCTCCAAGAACTTGCAAGTCCACATGGAACCTTACCTGTGGAAGACTCGTCCTGACGGAATCAATGTGATCAACATTGGCAAGACCTGGTAAGGGAAATCCTGCGCTCATTGATTTGTTTGGGTTTTGGAGTGGAGGCAAAACCAAGGCCGGCTATTGCTCATTTGTCGCGAAAACATCAGGGAGAAAATCGTTCTTGCAGCCCGCATCATCGCAGCCATTGACAACCCAGCCGACATCTGTGTGATCTCCGCTCGTCCTTACGGCCAGCGTGCTGTCCTCAAATTTGCTGCCCACACCGGTGCTGTTGCTATTGCCGGTCGTTTCACCCCCGGTAACTTCACCAACTATATAACTCGCTCCTTCAAGGAGCCCCGCCTCATCATCGTAACCGACCCTCGCACCGACTCCCAGGCCATCAAGGAAGCCAGCTACGTCAACATTCCCGTCATTGCCCTCTGCGACACTGACTCCCCGACCGAGTTCGTCGATGTGGCCATCCCCACCAACAACAAGGGTCGGCATGCCATTGGTCTGATCTGGTGGATGCTTGCCCGTGAAGTCCTTCGTCTCCGTGGAACCCTTGCTAACCGCGAAACCGAGTGGGATGTCGTTGTCGATCTGTACTTCTACCGCGATCCTGAAGCTGAGGAGAACAAGGAAGTCGAAGAGACCAAGGTTCCCGGTGCTGAGGAGGTTGGTGCCGGTGCTATCGAGAGCGGTTTTGTTGGTGATAGCTGGCAAGCTCAAGCCACCCCTGGCTTTAGTGCTGGTGTTGCTGCTCCTGGCACTGCAGTTCCCGGATGGGAGGCCGAGGTGTCCACTGATTGGGCTGCCAGCTCCGCTCCCGCGGCCGAGACCTTGGCCGACCCTGCTGCAGACCCGTCGGTCAAATGGTAGATTTGGGGTTCGTTTGGTTCGACTGCAAACCTGCATGGGTTAACTGAAGAAAGACACTTCTTTTTACTGCGAACTGAAAGAAAATTATGTGATTCCGAACGATTTCCATTCCATTCTTCGCTCACTGTTCTTCATGCAAAGCCTGCCCATTTCCCTTTCCGCTTTTATCTCCCTTCTATTTTCCTCCTATCACATAATCTGTGGAAAAAGGACAAATTTTTTCAAGCGTCCAAAATACTTCGGTTTCTTCTTTACCCCCGTTGCATGGTTTTGGTTTGGTTGCATCGTTCATCACCTTTGTTGTATGAGAAGTGACAGCTGTTTATCGTTTACATATGAAAGAGAAGCCAAAAAATAAAAAACTGAAATGGGAATTGAAATTGACTGGCACTTATGAGGGAAAGATATCCAAGTTTCGGACTTTACCGGTCGGAAATTTGGGGGAAAGCCCTGTGCTGTCAAGAAAAGGGGCGTACTTAATCGTTGTCCCGACCTGTTTTCCCTTTCCCAAATGTTTTTTCCAATTCTGTTTTCCTCTCAGAACAACCACTAGCTACTGGTGAAAATAACTAATTGCAAAGCCATCTTTTCTCTTTCCTTTATACGGAGTACTGCTGTACCTCAAAGAACCAACCCCGGGCTCCAACCAGCTTGGCTTCCTTAATATCATGTGACATACATCACGTGATTCACATAAAATTTTGACCCTATTGACCCAAACCAACCTTCCCGTAATTTTGATTACTTGCACATCAAAATATATATGTATATGTGAATCAACAGTATCTCACCGGCAAATTGCTTCAAAACAGAGATAATAAACCCCCTTCACCTAGGTTCTTTGTTGTAGGGCATGAAAATTTCCTTCAAAAATCTGGCTAGCTTCAGACATCAACCAAGATATGCTACCCTAAAACCAATTTATCTCCTACAGATTTGTTGGAATTCTTCGATCCCATCAAGAACCAACAAAAGTCGATTCTCATCCTCCTCCAACTCCACCTCCTTGGAAATGCCTGTCACGGACACCAATGAAGCAGTAACCGCAAAATCACACTCCAAAAACCAACCCGACTATCCATCTTGGAGCCAATCAAGCCTCATATCCCGCATCACCGAACTCGAACGCCAATTGAACTTCTACCAAAACAACAACGATGGCAAGAAACAAGCAGATGGGAGTAGAGAGTGCATTAGCTCTATAACAGAGAGCTCTGTGGCCGCAGCCTCTCCCTCTCCGTCGCGCTCCAGCCCTAACAAAAAGCACCGCGACATTGACCCATCAAAATACAACACGCGTTTCATTGCGCTGAAATTCGCTTATCTGGGTCAGAGATATGGTGGCTACGAGCATTCTAATGGCAATATCACCCCGTTGCCAACTATCGAAGAGGAGTTGTGGAAGGCGCTGAGAAAGGCACGGTTGATCTTTCCACAAAGCGTGGAGGGAGATGGTCAAGTCCAGGTGGAGCGTGGTGAAGGGGAGCAAGGGGAAGGAGAAAGATTGCACACAATTGATTGGACGGGCTGTCAGTATTCGAAGTGTGGGAGGACAGATAGGGGGGTTAGTGCGTTTGGGCAGGTTGTGGGGATTAGAGTGCGGAGTGCACGGCCGAAGAAACGGGTTGTGACAGATGGGAGAGGAAAGGAGGGTCAAGGGGCTGTTAGCATTGCAGCTGTAGCTACTCCGGAGATTTCCTCTACTACCCCTGATGCCTACAGTAGCGGAGCAGAAACCCCACTTGTTGAAGCGCCTAGTTGTGCTTCAGAAGAGTCTGACAATGAAGGTGGATGGGATGACATTGCAGATGAACTGCCATATATAACTATCTTGAACAGAGTGTTACCAGAGGATATCCGCGTGTTAGCATGGTGTCCGAACCCTCCATCAGATTTCGACGCTAGATTCTCGTGTCGCGAACGCAGGTACCGGTATTTCTTCACGCAGCCGGCCTTCTCTCCAACTCCTGGTCCTCTTGGCTTTCTGAAACGGGGAAGTGATCAGAAAAGTTCGGTTTCGGGTAGTTCTCCAATTACAGAACTGAGAGAAGGATGGTTGGATATCGAAGCCATGCGCGAAGGTGCGAGATATCTTATTGGAACCCACGATTTTCGAAATTTCTGCAAAATCGACCCGAGCAAACAGATTACAAATCACGTGCGCCATATTTACCATGCTGACATCGAGCTGTTGGACCCTCAAACAAAACCACTGTCATATCTGGGTCAACCTGAATTCCAGGCCCTTGAAGCTCGAAATGGAGAATTGGGCCGAAATTTGGTGTCAAAGGACTCATTGTTATCGTCATCTAATATGAAAATATACTCCATTACAATCCATGGCTCTGCGTTCCTCTGGCATCAGGTCCGACATCTGGCTGCAATTCTCTTCTTAATTGGTCAGGGACTCGAGCGACCGTCGATAATTCCAGAGTTGCTAGATTTTGAGAAGAATCCCCGGCGACCCACATATGAGATTGCTTCGGATGCCCCTCTAGTTCTTTGGGATTGCATATTCCCCCATGGAAGGAGCGGAAGCAGGGAAGATGGATTGGATTGGGTCTATGCGGGCGATTCACGGACTGCAAAAGTTGGGAAGGGAGATAATAACAAGTTTGGCCTTGGGAGTACTGTTGATACCCTCTGGAAGGTGTGGAGGCAACGTAAGATTGATGAAATTCTAGCGGGTGAACTTCTTGATCTCGCGGTGAGTCAGGGCGACAGGAGTGCTCTCTCCCGCGGTGGATTCAAGAATGCGACTCCAGATCTGGCGAACAGAAGTCAGAAAGTGTTCTATGGGGGTAATGAAGGGAAATTTGGAGGCAAATACGTGCCTGTGATGGAGAGGCGTAAGTTGGATACTGTGGAGGCGATCAATGCGAGGTACACGCAAAGGCCTGGGAGGAAAGGTATTGAAAACGGCGAAAAGGGGGATCGATCTGGTAGCGATTCATAGTGCAATGACCACTCGCGTTTTACTCCCGTTAAGATCTTCCTTCTCTCCCTTTAAAATTGCATATGTCAACCTATCTTCATAGAGCGGCAGCCTTCAAATAAACAACTGGGGCTTAAATTGACCAAGATTGTAGACATGGCATTCATGATTTCGGGTCATAGAGGCATCTGCGAGTCCCCTTCCAAACTTCTTCAAGAATTGAGCGTCGGGGCAATAAATTCTGTCAATCGCTAATATTAGATGGAGCCTTCAAGGGACGGACATTGGGGAGGATGATATTTTAAGAGCACGAACAGGAAATACCACAACAACGTCCGACTCCCCTTCCACAATGATGGCAAGATAGAACTTGACCTCAAATCCCTTGAAAGCCTCATGTATTACTATGTCTTGTATTTGCGTTGTAGGGATAAATCGAGTGGAGGCGGTTGAGAAGTAGGTGGCGGAGGAGGTCGAGGTTTGGACACCAAGTCCGCGAATGACCAGGAGCGATTCTTCTATTGCAAACGATATGCGGATCAGCCATTGTCCGTTTACAAATGCAGAATATTCAGAGAAATATATATATCTATATATATACATGTATACAAACCAATGTTGTAGAGGATACTACAAAAAAAAATGAAAAATGAAAAAAACTAACCTGTATGTCCTTTTCTAACAACGAGATAAACAATCACGGCAATCACTGGGCAAATATAATGCCAATCCGGCCTATCCGAAATGTGGCATGCTAGCGTCCCAATACTACTCGACCAAATATCATCCCACGGTATGATCCCATTGCCAAACACAACTATGAAAGAGCGGACGGAAGCTCCGTTGACGAGCACGATGAATGCGAAAAGGAGGATTCGGATCAGTGCTTCAACAGCGAAAAGGAGCTTTGAGGTGATTGTGCTGCGTACGGAGGCATTAGAGACGGTGAAGAGAGCCGTTGTCGGCGATGGACGCTGGATGGAAAGGCGAGAGGGCATTGAGATGGTGTGGGAATGGTGTAGCGAATTATAGATGCTTAATATTTAATATGCTGATATTTAACATCTCAAGCTCAGCTCAACCTCTTCTCTAGGTTTGCGCGCAGAATTGCTCGCGGCAAAGTTATCACGTGATACCGCCGCGTTGTTGCCCAGAACTCGGGCGTCAGTCGAGGAGCTTGGGTTTGCACGACCAAACAACAACCTTCAGGTGTGGTTACGAAGAAAGGATTTACGTATAAATACTACGGTATCCGCCTGCTTCTGCTCCTGAACTTGACAATTATTCATCATCTTCCATCGGACTCAGCACTGCTGCCCCCATTGTTCGCAAATCAATATTCCTTTGTTGTGCCACATAAATTTCAGCCCTTACATACGACATGCCTCGGCCATCTTCAAGATCACCATCCCCACGACGAGAAGAAAGGAGAAGAAGCAGATCACCGCGGCGGAAACACAACGAAGATAGAGACCGGGATGAACACAGACGTCGTGAAGGCGGCTTTCGGTGGAAAGAGAAGCGTCGCATCGATGACAAAGAGAGGAGAGACGACGTCAGAGGGCTGGAACGTGGATACAGAGAAAGGGAGAAAGTTCGCGCCAGAACACCACCACCTCGAGATTTTGAGGGAGAGAGATATAGGGATACAGTCTCCGACAAGGACAGGGACAGGGACAGGGACAGGAGAAGACAAGAAGGAAATAAATATACAAAGAAAGGGGGGAAAGATAACAAACGTGGGGATAGGGATGAGGGCGGACTCGGTGACCAGGATAGGAGGGAAAAGAAAATGGAAAAGCAGGATAAGGACAAGGACAAGAAACCTCCACTAGTTGCAGCGACGGGGGAACCGATGATAATCGTCAATGTGAACGATAGGCTCGGCACGAAAGCAGCTATTCCGTGCCTGGCGTCAGATCCAATCCGTGAGCCTCGTTCCCCTATTTGCTATTAGGATTGGTTCGGATTGATACAGATCATCATGGTGGTGTGGGGGAGGGGAAGGAAACGATTTTTGATGCCCGATCAGCTTTCTTGTCTTGTACTAACAATTTGCCCTTCCTTTATATATATAGGCCTCTTTAAAGCCCAGGTTGCCGCACGGATTGGACGAGAACCTCACGAAATCCTTCTCAAGCGACAAGGAGAGAGACCGTTCAAGGACCAGCTCACTCTGGAAGACTACGGCGTCAGCAATGGCGTGCAGCTTGACTTGTGAGTTTTCCCAAAGTTTCGTATTTTCCCCATTGGTGTTCTCTTTTCCCGGCCACGTGAAAGGCCCTATTGGGTTATATTTTTTAACTATGGTGCTAAACTTATTTTGATCTTAGGGAAGTGGACACAGGCGACTAGCAATGATGAATTATTGCAATTTGTTCTGTGCAGCGAGCAAATTTTGTATATTAGACAACCCTCACTGATTTTTTTGGTTTAAAATCTAAGGAGAGGGGAAGGGGAGAACGGTGTTTTCGTCCAAGATTGATTTCAGTACCACAATCCACACTAAAACTGAGATTTGGTTATTGGTCATGATTCCTGTTGGCCTTCAACGGCTGAATTGGCATTTCTAATGTATCTAGCCAGCAAAAATGGCTCATACACATAGTCTTCATATCCCCCTCTGGAAATTCCATATATTCCACAAGTTAGGTGCCTTGGTACCATGGACCCAGATACACTGGGACCAGGCTGATGTGAGCCCGGATGGGAACTGTTCGAAGTACAACCAAAATATATGATGATATTATGCTCTTCCTATGGCCAAAGGTCTTTGGACAGTGCTGCGTTGGATCATCAGATGTTGGTTTTCCTTGCCATCGGCCCGGAGTATGACAGACCATTCCTCCGTGTGTTTGTATCTTTGGGTGTCCGTGTCTGTATATGAGTGTGTGTGCATGTCTCTGTTTCTTCTCCCCACGTTTACTGCGTGTCTCTGCTTTTGTCTCCGTCTCTGTGGCTCTCACGGATGTTTCTGTTCTGTTGTTGATATCATGAGTTCAAGTGCGGGGAAGAAACACCCTGCTTATCTCAGCAGACATTGCGGGTGGGTGGCAAAACGGTCAGGTCCCGTGACTTGACTTTTTTCCGACCTATTTTTTGATTTTAACTCGGATTTTACTTTTACTTGTCGTTATGATCAGGAAATTCCAACCAAGTTGAGATATTTTTATCTTCAATTTCCCGTATCTTCCCATCCTCCTCCCTCTCTGCTCTTCTTCGCCATTGTTCCCTTTGATCATGTCTGCTCCATTCATTCCTCTTCGGCTTCCCATCTTTGTTCATGTTCTACAGCATTAATTAGTGTACCGCCACCGCCCTTCTCCAATCATCCTTGCAGGATCGGCTAGCGGAAAATATCGCTCTTCAAATTGCCGCTGTCTTTTCGTCAATTTCTAAACGATTTCTCCCCGCCTTCCCACCCCGTCTTTTTTAAATAACCTCTATCGGATCTCTGATATTCCTTCCGTTGATGGTAAAAGCTTATCGTTCTGACGTCCAAGATGGTTAGGAACATTGTTGTGCTGGGAGGGTCCTCTCATCCACAGCTTAATGAAACGATATGTGAGCATCTTGGCATTCCTGTAGCCAATATGCTACTGTCGAAATTCTCTGTTGGTGAAACTCGTGTAGAAATCAACGAATCTGTTCGTGGCAAGGATGTGTATATCATTCAATCTGGTGGAGGCAAGGTTAACGACCACTTGATGGAACTCCTCGTCATCATCTCTGCTTGCAAAACAGCTTCCGCGAAGAGAGTTACGGCCGTCCTCCCTCTCTTTCCTTATTCTCGCCAGAGCGATATCCCATACAACAAGATCGGTGCTCCTCTTGTGAAATCATCCGTCGCCAGATCCGATAGTTCTGCTAACTACACTTTCGAGAGCACGCCGCCCACCCCACATGCTGGAAAAGCGGAAAGCATTGGCCTGACAAGCGATGGTTTACAGAAAGGACTTGCCCAAGTACAAATTGAGCAACATGAAATGTCCGGCAGTGGAAGCCCTCAAAAGGCCCGTTTTGGTCATTACGCAAATGGTCAGCTGAAACGCAGTGATACCATTGACACCACCAAGTCGGATACGAGTAATCGAAGTCGCACTGCAACTGCCGTGCCTGCTACTAACGGCACTGCGAACAACGATGATGTCATGAGCGTGGCTTCAAATTCTTCGAAATTGAGTGCGTTCCACCCGCGTCCCGGATACCGACAATGGGTAGCGCAGGCCGGTACACTTGTGGCAGATTTGCTCACATGCGCTGGTGCGGACCATATTATCACCATGGATTTACATGATCCTCAGTATCAGGGATTCTTTGATATACCTGTTGATAACCTCTACGGTCGACCGTTGCTCAAAAAATACATCACGGAGAATATCTCCAATTACAGGGAAAGCATTATAGTCAGTCCCGATGCCGGAGGAGCCAAGCGCGCGACTGCAATCGCCGATTCACTTGGTATGGACTTTGCTTTGATCCATAAGGTAAAACACATATATATACCTATATACAAACAGCCTTGTCCTTGGGACAATTGCGATCTGTGACGCCACTAACATTTTGTCTCCTATTTCTTCAAAACGAAAAGGAACGTCGGCCAACGAAAATCACAGATCGTCAGAACGCAACCATGATGCTGGTGGGTGATGTTAAAGGCCGGACTACCATTTTGATTGACGACCTTGCCGATACGTCGAATACTATCACACGCGCCGCGAAGCTCCTCAAGAAGGAGGGAGCTTCGCGGGTGTATGCTCTTGTCACACACGGCATCCTCAGCGGGGACGCCATTGAGCGAATCAACGCCAGCGCTCTGGACAAGGTGGTCGTCACCAACACCGTGGCGCAGGACGTTCACAAAGTCCTCTGTCCTAAATTGGAAGTCCTAGAGGTTGGTCATGTTTTTGCTGAGGTAAGTCTTGGTGTCTTGTTTAAGACTTTAATCAAATCCCTCCGTTCAGCTCTCGATTTTTGTTAACAGAACTCTGTTTGCTTACTTTTGCTCGATATAGGCTATCCGTCGCGTCCACCACGGTGAAAGTATCAGTGTGCTCTTCCAATATGATTGATTTTCCTTTTTGGGAGTGAGAGAGTTGTTATTCGTTTTTATTATTTAAACCACACTTTGAGCACTCCCAACAGCAGTGAATGAGAATAAAATCAGACCCCCTTTCCCTTTTTGCTCACCCGCAAAATACGATCAACACGAATGATTAATTGAATAGAGTCTTACCACAGTCAAAAACGCAAAACCAAATCTCCCACCCGCTCTTTACAAAACCTGATGTCCTTCTAACTGGAGTGAAATTTCATCAAGTCAATTTCATTGGGCACTTGCACATATCGGCAGAGAAATGGACTCTCCCTTATCTCGCCCCCTTGCTTGGAGTGGCACCATGATGATGAAACACTTATTTCTGGATATGAATCCAAGAAGGGCATCTGTAAAAATTTTTTAATTTGTTGTTCTGTCCTTTCCCTTCTCTCTGTTTCTATCCTTCCGCATTTCCGTCTGTCCGACGTTACCATCCACTGGATACATTAATTAGAGTGGACAGGTAGTGTGTGGTGTGAATTCCTCATGCCAAGTGCTGGTTATCGGGGCTCCCATCTTTCTCTATATATCTTCCTCAACTTTACTTCTCTTATATTCCTATTTGATTCTAGTGATTGTGTACCTTGTTATATTCTTATTTGGTCTTATCACATCGCAGTATCTGCTAACCTTCCCGCAATCGTTCCCTTCCCATATTGCGTTCTTTCGGATCTTTCGAAATCTTTGTTGCTTGTATTTTCAAAAATGAAGAGCAAACAAACATTCTTTAAGTATTTAGCCTGCGGAATTATTTCTCTCCATCTGTTTAATTGTGTGTGCTCTTCTCTCTTACCCACTCAATACATGAAACGGCTTTTATAACAGGGGTAATTTGATTTTTATTCAATTACATCTACAAAGCCGCAACTCCAGGACTGGGAGATTGGAGAAAGACACGAAAAGGAGGGATATACATACATAACGCTACCAATCCGGGGATTTTTCATTTTCGTATACATAGTTTCTTTTGGTGGAGATGCCGGCTAGCTTATGCCCTACCATAAATAGTCGTCCTCTTGCCGCCCATTGTACATGCGCGGAAGGCATCTGATATCTATCGATGTTGTATATAAACTCACACTAGCTATTGTCATATATTTCAACAAAATGCCGTTTCACCAACGGCATGATATCAATCCAAAAGTTATAGAACTTGGAGTTCATGGTTAAATCTACAATTTTTTGAGCAGCAGACCGTGTGACAGATGACTATCTTTACCCTGCTCATGTATGTATATAACATGAGCAGCAGCAAACAGTGATGTGTTTCCTTCCTCTCCCCTCACGTCTTTAAGGAATGTTTGCTGGGATCCTAGTTAATACGCGGACTTCATGCTCCGGGATGATCATATGAGTAGACTTAAACGGAGCAATATCTCAAATCAATTACGAGTGGAGAGCATGTTCCACGGAACGGCGAAGTGGCAGGAGAACGTATACTTTGGTTCTTTGCTCCCGATTGTTTAACCGAAAAACTATTCAGTTATGTAAGAAAAGCGGATCTCCGGGGCTTCGGGAGTGGCCCCACGGAGGTATCTCGGCTTCGAGTATTAACCACCTCTTGCGGGCCATTACTTAATGTGGGCACCAAGGCTTCGTAGTAAGGACTCGCGCCCCGCACACAGCAATCCCCAGTGGATTGGCGAGTGGATACTTCAATCAGTGCACCCCCGGAATTTCAACGTGGGTTAAAGGAAGAATAACTCCCTTTCCCCAAAATATTTGCGAAGAGAAGGAATATCAGAGCGGTCATCATCAAATTGTGAATATTCTCTCGTCTGAGGATTCCGTTAGTTACTTTCATAGTGTCTGGTATATACTACTAGAATACTTTACGAAAAAAAGTATTAGATGGAGGGGCAACAGCTAAACAGACAGAAAACACAAGATAGATCATGATATATCTAATGGTGGCCTATAATAATGTAGCAGATAGAAAACAGAAAAAAAAAAAAAAGGAAGCTTCTGAGAGACACGTCACTGACAATATTGAAGTATTTTAAACAAACAGCTGTTACAATTCATCTCGCACTTTCTTCAGATCCTCCTTTTCATTTGGTTCCCCTTTTGCCTTTTGTTTCTCCTTCTTCCCGTTCTTATTTTTCGAATTCCCATTACCCCTAGTCTTCCTACCACCATTTTCTTTTTCTCCGGCTGGAATATTCGTTATAATCTTATTAAGCGCCCGTTCCAACTCGCGGATTTTAACATCCAGATCTCTTATGGTCAAGACGGGGTCTTCGAAATCACTGAGCTTCTCCTGAAGGGAAAGCTGTGTTTCAAGCCAGGAATTTATGGTGTCGTGCGTGCTCGAGAGAGCGGAGACGTCCGCGGCTGAGTAGATAGATTGTGGGTTGGGTTTGGAAGATGGGGTGGAGGAAGGCGTTGTTGTTGTTTCCGAGGGGAACTCATCCTCGAGAGAAGCAAAATCATCTGATATTGAAGAGGGGACAGAGGTAGAAGACGTTGATGTTGACCCTTCACTTGCTGGAGCGGATGATTGCGAAGGAGATTCCGAGATAGAGCGAATACTCTCCTCAGCTTCGATTTGGTCTTTCATAATATTCACGAAGACCTTCGCGTTTTGCAGGCCTTGTTTTAGGCTATCTACCTTGATGTTCCGGAGGGAGTGTTCCTTCTTTCGGTTTAGGGCAGGCTCAACGTATTGCTTCAACCCGTCTAATTTTGTCTTGATGTCCTTGGTGGGAGCGTCGGCACCATCTCCATACAGCCAATCGCTTGCCTCGGAAAGTTTTTCCTTTAGCTTGACAAGGGCGTCTGCGGCTATCGTTCTTATAAATTCCTCTTCGGTGACAAGGTCCTGTGCGCGGTATATATATGCTTCTAGATTATTGAACATCTCTTCGCGCTTAACACGGGCAAGATCTGAGGCGTCAAATGCTGCGAGGCGGGCTTTTATCCGCGCCAGATGGGTCTCTGATGGTGGGGGGATGCCTAGTACGGACGTAGTGAATGCGATTGGTATCGATTCAGTTTTGACCTGAATGGTGTCGGATGATTTCGCAGCAGACTCTGTAGACGAACTTGCGGATGCTGACTCGTTAACGGATGAGGAAGATACGGTAGCGGATACAGAAGAAGTCGACGAGGATTCAGAATCCACAATGGTGGATTCCGTGGATGGGTCATCTTGAAGTGGCTGTTGATCAGCCTTCTTGGAACCCAAGCCAAAGAATTCCTTCACATCTTCCACCACTCCTTTCTTCTCTTCGCTCACGTACTTGCAGCTGACAACGCCACTGACCAGTTCAGGAATGCGATCCAAGGGTCTAAGCTGGATGGAGAGCTTGGTCGTCATATTTGCAGGTACACAGCCGAATCTGTCTTTAAGGGCGGCTACTGATTGCGTCAAATTTGTGGTTTGGATGCCTGTAATCAGAGCTTCGATTGGTTTGCCGTCCTGCGTGAGCTGCTGATAGAAACTGAATTCAAAGTCTTCCAAATTCTTCATTGTCACCGTTTTCTCCGCTCCAATCTCTGAAGAAGGTGTGAAGAGCCTTTGCTGTCTTTCCCTGTTTCCAGATTTCCACTTCATTCCAACAGTGAAGCCGGGAGTATCCCCTGCCCGGATATCTTTGACTCTGAACGATCGGCTAAGGGCCGCGCCTGTGAATGTTGCACCAAAAACTGCAGCTTCATCCGCGTTTACACTGGTTCTCAACTTGCTGGCGTTCTTGCAAGCCGACTCGAGGTGCTTCTGTACAAATGGGGTCCTAACCGCGCCTCCGTGAAGAATAACTGAATCTACATCTCTCAAATCGAGGTGTGCAGACGCCAATGCCTCGTTCAGAGGTCCCGGAACACGACTGGAGTGATCCTTTGCCAAATTTTCGAAATGGGACCGCGTAATTTGGTATTTAAAATTAACATCGTCATGATATAGAGCCTCAAAAGAAATTGAAGTCTCTGAATTTGCGCTCAAGATATGTCGAACTCTTTCCGCTTCCTTCCAAAGCATTGCCATCGTTCGTCCGTGCGCTCTGAGTTGCTCTGGTGTTGCACCGTCCTTCAGCTTTTTAGCGGCGACAAACTTTTCAATCATGTCGTTAACAATCAGCTGATTAAGCGTATTACCACCTAAAGTCCTATCCCAGCCGCTGCCTACAACTTGTACTTCCTGAACTGTCTTGTTAAATCGGCCAATATCTTTGACAGATCGGCTCTGGAACCGGAGAACAGTCGCAGACGTAGATCCAGCACCCATATCATACACAACATGATACTCTGGCTTCTTCCCGTCTGATACGTTGGGAAAAGTCCGACTCGTAGCGTAATGGACACCAACAGCCAAACCATCGCTGACCATAGCGATCACATTCAGCCCAGCCAATTGTGCTGCCAGTTGGACACTTCGTTTCTCCGCCGCCGTATAGAATGGTGGGAAGGTGATGACGGCATCCTGGATTTCAGATCTCCGTCCCCCCATTGCTTCCGCATTGCCTTTAACCTGCTTCAATTGCATGGCTAATAACTCTTCCACCATGAACAGTTCCCGACCTTGCTCTTCTGCCAACCTTTTGCTTTTAATCCCAACAGTACCCCGTCCAGGAATCTCCCCTATATCGATAGCAGGATACCAGCCTTTGTATGTCTCAACGACATTTTCCAGATGATCCCCTGAACCTTGAATTTCCGATTCAAGCGGAATGCCCAGAAGAACTTTTAGGTTGGCAAATACATCCCCAGGAAACCGAGGAGCAAGTGAAAGTGCATCGCTGCCATAGAACCGGTCTGGAAATGGGGCGTTGTGCTCCCGCGGTGGCTTAAATGCTAGCGCGGCAGTTTCTTTTCTCTTGGAATCCTTGGTTAATACAATTTCTAGTGGTACTCCGGGCTTCACTAAGGCAGCTTTTATGTACTCTGTTCCGAGATCGATTCCAATGACGGCGGAACCTGCAGCGGAAACCTGGGTCGGAATAGCGGCGAGAAGGAGAAATGCGAGGAGAGAGGAAAGAAAATAGAATGAGACGACTCCCCTTGAGGAACTTCGTCGTCGGCCCGGTGGAGCCATTTTTGAATAGCCGTACTATATAGCAAAGTTCCGTCCAGTTAGCAGGAGCTTTGCGACCAGAGCAGGTCGGGCCTTAGAACTTGGGAGTAGATACGCACTTGAGCTTATTTTATCTCTATAGGGGATAAAAGGTAAAATAGAGGAGACAAAAGACGAAAACTCCCTCCTAAAGGTTTATTGAGAAATACATCCGGCAGAATATGTGAAAGTGAACAACATATCAGACAAAAGTTATAAGGTGAGTGGAAGCTTAAAGTAGGACTGATAGAAGGTGACAATACATAACCACTGAATTGTTTGATGCTCATCAATAAGAGAAGAGGACACTAAACACCAGAACCCAAGCCAGAGGAATATGCTTACCATCAAAAATGCAAGTTGTTTTTTTCTTGAAGCTGCTTATGATTGAATGAAAAGCACTGAGGACACTTTGGCATCAGATGGGCGCTACAGGAGTGCAAACATGCCTAATCTGGCATGTTTGCTTTGCTATCAAATTGAGTTTGTCTTTTTTGCATTCGAAGGAAAATGTATTAGTGGCTTGGCACAACGCCAGGGATCTGTCATGTGATCGCGGATGGATCCTTGAACGGCGTTCATCAAATAATCATTATTAATTGATCTTTAATAGTTTTTAAATATAAAAAGTTAAATATATAAAAAATATACATTTATATAATGTTAATATACAAAAATAGGGAAGTTAAGTAAAATATAAAGCAAAAGAATTATAATTTATTATTTAATTATATAAATATATAATAATGGTAATTGTAAAGGACTAACTCCTGGGTGATAACCTTTCGTCCCGGATTATAATTCTTCCGGCCTGACCTACCTTCGTCACTTTCATTCTCCTTTCAGTTCTTTTCTCCTTCTAACAACTATAAGGAAGTGCTAGGGCCGTATTCGGTAGGACGCCCGTTGCATTACGAATTCGTTCTTCATATCCTATAAGGCCCGAGAGCCTTCGTCCAGCATGTAAGGTCTGATAGCCTTCGTCCAGCATATAAGGCCCGAGTGCCCAAGAATTTCCTTTCTATAAACATGGATTATGACCCTCATTTTCAGTGCCCACTCTCAGTGATCTCCGGAGATAAGTACAGCAACAAGCTGCACAGATGGCTGAACTTCAGCACCGGCTGAATGAACTGTATCCTATGGCATTCAACGTGCCCACGCCTGCCTTGCCTGCTGAGACTCCGAAGGAACGATTTCCCGTCCTAGATGAATATAAGGGCGACCTGTCCTTATACCTTGCCTGGAAGTCAAAAGCAAAGGATATCAGAACATCATGGTTATTGTGGACCGCCTCAGTAAGGGTGTCATCCTGCAGCCATGCAAGCAGATGAATACCAAAACAGTCGCGGACGCCTTTCTCAAAGGCCCATTCTATCGTACACGCGGACTTCCTTCTTCTATAGTGTCTGATCGTGGGACCCAATTCATTATTGCTATGTGGATTCGTATCTATAACTTCTCAAGATAAAACGTCGTCTATCTACTGCTTATCATCCCGATGATTGATGAATCTGACACACTTGCGGAGATGGAAGACGATATGGGAGAACGGGACCTTTATGAGTGAGCCTGGCAGAGAACAGGATATATATGTATTACGATGTTTTTTCTTTCTATTTCATACGTTCTTCTGTGTATTAGTCTGCGGAAAGCGCTTTATTAGGATGAGTTGACGATTTGTCTTTTGGTAAAGTTGCATGAGGAGGAAGGTTACCATAAGTTATATAATTGTATCTTTGGATATGGCAAAATTTCAACTGTTCTCTGCCTTTGTAGTTAACTAATCCCTTGCTACAAATAAAGTGGAATTCACCATGCATTTACCTTGGTAAAAAAATATAGGAAATAGTTAAGACTGGCAAAATCTTGTATGTAGTGTGTTTCAGTTGCATTCTAGGATAAGAGCTAGCTTTTGAAAACGCGGAGGATAAAATCTCGCACGTCGGCGCCCCGGGGAGGAGGTGGGTGTTTGACATACTTTGCCCGGGCGGCCGCTCCGCCGCACGTGATTAGTGTATATAGAATTAGCTGGCTTCTCTTCCACCAATGAAGAATCATCCATCCCATACAAGTCCATGGGGAAATACATTAGTTAGTTAACCAACTAATTAGTTAATACCTAGTTAGTGTTAGGTTACATGGCAAAGAAGGCTCAATCGCCAGAAGTCTATTAGTTACTGGACAAAGGACGAGTACAATCCCAGAGGCATCCCTGATCCCTAACAGCTAGTTAGTTACACTGCCTATTAACTAACTTAACCTCCCGTATCTCTCCAATACATAATTCAATCCTCTAAATCACATGTCATTCCTGGCTTTAAGGGAGATATCCTAACAAATGTTGCAATGTTCATTTATATGCATAACTGTGTATATGAAAAATAATCTACCTCGAGGGCTGTATATAAAGAATGATCAGTTCAAGATATCCATCGACCCCGCCCTGCTAAATTGTATACTTCGTATCAATGCAAAACATAACCCATGGCCACCATAAGCAAACCACAGCAAATCTCATAAGTCACACACATGTTGCGTAGAGTTGACGTGGAAGGAAAGGATTTGTTCCTACATGGAATCTAGGATGTACGATTCCCATACGCAACTGCTGCTTCATCCACGACGTTTCACAAGATAAACGGGCAAGGGTATGGACGCGGAACTGTTAATTATCGCTTAGCACCCGGCGTTTATGGCTGTCAAAAAGGTCAGCTATTTTATCAACAAGGACGGAATCCGGACTCAATAGCTCACATTGCGCAAATAGAGCAAAAGTATCAGCGTTGTTCAGGGCATCTCTGGTCGAAAGAAGAATGCATGCATCGTATCCATAAGCAATGTCTTTAGTTCCTGGACTGAAAACACTCGGAGCATGAGTAAACTCGTGGAGGGATGTGGTAACTCGATCCTGGCCATGGCATTTTCTATTCACATTGTCAAACTCCGTGTAGTAAATAGGACAGTTAGATATGAGGTTTTCCGCAGGTATGGTGTAGGCTATGATGTTGTTTGTGCATATGTTGTATGGGTCACGGCAGTAGTAGGTTGTACTGCCGCCAGTAAGATTGGATGATTCCAAGGCAATCGCTGTGAATCGGTCCGCTACTAGTTTGCGTGTTGTCTCATCATTAGCTTTGAAGTACTCCATCATTTTTGGGCCCCCAGCCCATGCCTGAGCAGCTGAGAGAGTAGAAAGAGATGCACAATCTCTAAGAGCGCGCCTGGTATCGTCTCCTTGGGAGCCCTCGCAGGAGCTAAGTTTGGCAATCTTTGCAAACTGATTCATGGCAGCAAAACTCTTCGCGGCAGTGGTGCCATCAACATCGATCTCAAGCTTATTGGACTTGTAGCGAACAACTCCGGAAAGCGTTTTGCCACCCGTATCTGTGGTGGGAACATATCCCTGAGTCTGTAGAACGATAGGGCCGCCCTGAGAAAGATCGGACGTAAAAGCTACATCAAACTCATCCTCAAATGACTCGCCGGGGGCAAGATGTGTGATGACATCGGATGAAAGGTCACTGGTCTTATGACGAACTCGGATGCCCCCGAACGGGGACCTCAACGCCTACGCAAACAGTGTCAAATGTTTATCTCAAGAAAAAGGGATAGTCAAACGTGAGATTCTTGGATGTCTATTAATACCTTGACTATAGATGGTGACTTTCTTGACTGGAGCAGTGTCTCTGAAAAAGT